TAAAACATAATTACTAATCAAAGTAATTAAAAAAGAGAAATACATATTGTGCTACTTCAAGGGTTTGTGAAATAGTATCGCCGTGCGGCCATACCTTTAAAAGAATCGGTTTTCCCCCACTTTTTAAAAAGAAAGAGTATAGCCGCACGGCTATACTATTTCTTTTATAAGGTATTAATTAAATTAAAGAAGTCGGCGAAGAGTAAAGAAACTAATTTTATATTTTTTAAAAAAATTAAAAAAAAACACAAACACTTTACCCGATGAAATTTCGTCGGCGTAGGTCTATGCCGACAAAACTTTGTCGGATTAGGTTTCTCCCGACAAAAGGACCTTTGCAGACGAAATTTCGTCGGGAGAGGACTTTTTAAAAAAATAAATATAAACTTAGGATGTTTAGGTTAATTAATTTTTTTTAAATTTGTTTTTAGTAATTCAATAATATATTTGACTGATTTAATTAGTTAAATTAGTAATTATATTTTAACTATTATTTATTTAGTGAATAATTAGTATTAAATATTTTAATTAACTTCATGAATTATATTACTTTATAAATAGTAATTCGATTTTTCTTTTTCTTTATTTCCTTTAATATTTACTAAGTAAATAACAACTAAAACATAATTACTAATCAAAGTAATTAAAAAAGATAAATACATATTGTGCTACTTAAAGGGTTTGTGAAATGGTATAGCCGTGCGGCTATACTCTAAAAAAACCTGAGTATAGCCGTGCTGCTGTACTATTTTTATATATAAAAAAAAGGACCCCAGTCATTAGGCGCCACATTTCAAGACAATTCTACTTTTTAAAAAAAATTAAAAACACAGAGTATAGCCGCTTGGCGGTACTGATTTTTTATTTATTTATTTAAAAGGACCCTCCAATGATTAGACGCCACGTGTCACTATACTATTTTTGAAAATAAATTTAAAAAAGAAAAGAGGACCCTCCAAGTTTCATTAGTTGTACTGTATAGATACTAATTTGCTAGTTTCAACATATCCCGGCTATACTAGGTTTTTTCCTAATTACTATACGGGGGTTTTCCCAATTTTTTGTAAAAGAAATAGTATAGCCGTGCGGCCATACTAGGGGAGAGTTCATGAAAGAACAGATTGCAAGAGCTAGGATATATTTCAACCTGGCAGAGTAGGGAGTTTCCCAGCTTTGCAAGGCTAGCCGTTGGCCGGTATATACCTCTTTACATTTTGACACCATATGTGCATTAAAGCATTGCTATTGATCTTGCTTAACAGTGAAGGCACAATATAGAACCATAACTTGAGAGAGGGAATGGTCATGGCACCAAAAAATTGTTCCCATTCCTATCTGTCACAAGGCCAGATCATTTCGAATACTAGAACACAGATCATTCTACTTGATAAAATACAAAGGTAAAAGTAGATAAAAATGTCTCTTAAAAACAAACACTACAATAATGAATGTATTTGCAGCATTGCAGCTGTTGCTGAGTAATATAATTTGTTCATAAATAAATAAATATACCCTATTGTCCTCCTACGTGCAGGAATGGTGGTTTTCTTGTAATGATCTGCAATGGTTTCGCAGGTTTGGCAGCGTTATTGATGGCATCTTGAAGACAAGACAACGTTTATGATAACTTGACAAAGAAAGCATATGTAGGGAGAGCTAAGAAACTTCTCATGTTGTCTTTGACATACAGAAGATTGTTTACCCCAAAAAGGACCCGCCGGCCATTCGCGTGGTGTTTGGCCGTGGAGTTTGCTTGTTGCGATTGCGAAGGCGTGCCACTGTTGGCAGTGAAAAACTCCAACAGATTGAAAACGGTAAGACTGGAAAATGCGCACCGATATTGACTTTAATCAATCGATTGTGGATTGGGTGGGGAACTGGCCCAATACAAGGTTCTTTTCTATGCCTCAGTTAAGAGGACTTCAATATTCATCTAGTGCAAAAATGATAACTTGACATAAGCTAAAATTGAACGGTAATGGAAATGACAGAAGTTTATCGGAAGATTTCTCTATTCAGACAACTTTAAAAAAAAAAAGGAACAACACAGCCTGAAGATTTCTTTATTCAGACCTGGCACATGAAATTAAAATGGAGATTGAAGATTTCTCTATTCAATCTTGTACAAGGAAATATCATACCAAGAGTTGGCAGAGCAAAATAAAGAAAATTCCTCAGGAGTTGTCAACTGGGAAATTCAGAGAATGAAAAAGGAAGGTTGTGAAGATTTCTCTATTCAGACCTGGTACATAAAATTAAAATGGAGATTGAAGATTTCTCTATTCAATCTTGTACAAGGAAATATCATACCAAGAGTTGGCAGAGCAAAATAAAGAAAATTCCTCAGGAGATGTCAACTGGGAAATTCAGAGAATGAAAAAGGAAGGTTGTTTCAAGCTTTTGAGCTGGGTTTATAGACGTTGAGTCTGGTTTTTGTTGGTTGAGTTGTGTGTCTTTTGCTGATGATTTCTCCTTCAATTTATAGAGAATGGAGGTCGTTGAGTGGACCAGCAGTCAATTTGAAGTACCCACTTGCCATTGGTTTTGGTGAGTGGGTTGCTGAAAATACAAGTAAACCCAAAAAAGTTGCTAAGAGGCTTTGATGTGATTTGACAGAAGTTATCACTGTTAGACTTAAAGTAATCCAAAGTATTAGTCCACTTGCCATTGATTGGTGAGTGACAGCCAAAAGTAGCTGACTAAAAGACAAAAAGAAATGTAGAGATAATGACCACAATTTCTACTTCTTTCTTTATTCATTCTTTAAGCCCACTTGCATATTATTTTATTCTTCTTTAAACCTTGGTGTAGACTTTTCACATGTATGTTGGGCTTTGGCTTTGTTTTAATATTCTTCATCACAGAGAATATTAAATTGTTTCCATCTACCACATCTTCACTTTATTCTTCTCTAAATCAACTCACTGGTGATGAAGTCCCTCCATTGATAAAGTGAAACTTGATTTGCAGCCACTGAGTTTCTCCTCTGAACATGCCTTGATGCGTAATAAACTGGGAATGCTAGGTTGATCCAATTGCTGCCAATTTCGGATATGTTGTTCTCCACATAAGTAGGAACAACATTCATGAAGAACTTAATTCCTTTTGAGGAATAGAAAATCTGGTTTTAGCATGGTTACACCTGACAGGTCATCACAGACTGCTCTCACGAACAGAAATCATGATTAATGCTCTGAAGATTCAATACTTGCGCAAATGACGCCAAATTCGGATAGGTCGTAGTAGACATCCAAATGAATAACTTTCATGAAGAACGAATGTTCATTTGAGGACTGGAAGCTGGCCCGATTCGGGCCATAATTAGGCCCGATTTGCCACTGTTATCAGCTTTCGCTGTTGCTGGTAGGCTTCT